TGGATATTCCTATATTGAGAGCAGAAGCATGGCAAATTCAGTATGCCTTACCAGGTTTTCGTGCTTCCAGTATATCAGCTCTCATTGTGGGTGGCTCATATCAATTTATGTGACCGATATATTTAGAATATGCCCCTGCTTCTTCCAGTTCTTTTTCTCATTAGCTTCTGGTAATGTAAATGCATTGAGCTTGCACAACATCAGGTCTCAGGGTCACTCTCCTTAAAGCCTTCACATCTCATTCAGTAATCCTTCAAGGCTTTTGAGTCATGTGATGTTATAGCGTCTTGAATGTCCTTGGGATAAGACATAGGACAGCGAATGCTGGAGACTGAGCTGTGGTTTGAGGGTGAAAGTTTGCTTCACTCTCACTCACAATTTGTGACCTGCTGTAATCTGCACAAATCTGTGGATCAAAATAGAAGTTTTTCTCAGACATGATGGCTTGTTTCCAGAGCACTGCCCAGTTAATAAAATGTGTTAAGTTTCTTGTGTTACTGAACCAGTTTCATTTGGCACATTGCCTCTTTTTGGTCACTCAGTACTGCCATATCAGTGTCACACCTAAATTGCCATTTCACACAGAATAACATGATATTTCTTGTAACACCAGTAAAGTTAAAGCCCTGGATCTGATGGCTGAGGTGTAGTCACATCCCACTGAAAGGAAAAAACAAATGCTGTCCCAAATGTCAGTCAAGTGCAGAGTGACCTGCACAGACGTGAAGTTGATATTCAAATACTTTGTTTGCATGGCAGGCTCAACTGTAGCCTCTAACATCAACGCACAACTTCATGGACTTGATTGCGTAATGGTGCTTTTCTGTGTTCAAAACAATTTATACAGCAGGGGTATTATCCTCATCCACCACCAATGAGTTTTCAGTCAGTTTATCCCAGAAAGCTCCTGAGGTAAAAAGAAAGGTTACACTATTGTCTAGTTTCATCAGTTGACCTAATAGCTCTAAAGCCTGTGAAAAATTGGTCACAAAGGCATGGCATTTGTTGGATGTGTACCACCAACTGTGGCCTTATTTGATGTGAGGAGGACTTGTTCACCCTGGCCTCATGTAAAACTGTTTGATTGTTACTGTACAAAAATGTGCTGCATAAGGAAATAGTGGTTATTGTGGTAATTTTTTGTTAAGAGAGACTGAGAGCGTGAATGAAGAGAAAAGAGGGACAGGAAAAGAGGGAAGTTTGGTAGAGGGGAAGTTGACCTAATACCAGTGTATTGTCCATTCACAGAGGATAAATCCACTAGGAACATGATCTATTAAAAGCTTTTTGTGTTTCATACTCGGGTCATTAACCCAGACTCTATGTCATCAAATGCATTAGGTTTCTTCTTTTACAGCCTCCAATCTCTCAACACATGACAGGCCTGTGTTTTACATTGTAAAATTTGGCGATAAGAAATGAGAGAGTTAACATAGGTTACATTTGAACAAATTCCTAGTAAGCAGTACGGATGGTAGATAAGCTAGAGTTGTTTCAAATGAACTCACTTTAGTGCCGTTGATACAGCAGAGAAAGTGATGTCATTGCTCTGGTATCAAAGAGAAGCTTGGGTGAAGGCAGGCAGTAGCTGAAATGGCCTAAACTCTGCACGTTACCCCGAGTCCTAGTTATCGTTTGAGAAAACATGCTTATAAAGGATTTATCTTTTTCTTAAGGGGGCTGTCAGGACACTGCATTACATGTGCCTGTACTTTTTATGATAAAATGATTCATAAAAATGTTTGCTTCATAAAAAAGCATCTGACATCATACAGAGAAATAAAAGTGCAATCTTAGTAACAGATCATAAAATATTCTTTCACACATCTACTTTCCCAGTGACAGGGTGGAGCCTTCACAGTCATGTTATTTGTGCATTCTTTGTTGACAAGGTTAGATCACAGTGTTCACCATGGAATATTGTGAGCTGAAACCAAGACTGTATGCATAATTATAGAGAAAAATTATCTGATTTGATAGCATAATGGAAATATTCACATTATTTTCACATTTTTTGTTTGAACAACATACAAAAAAAAACCTCAATCCTCAATTTAATCAGTTTATAATGAACACATTGTTACAAGACTAGGTGATTGGAAGCCAGCTAAATAACATAAAACAGACTTTATGTCTTATGGTTGTTGTAATGGTTTCTTTTTTATATTACATTGAATCAAATGACTGAAGGTATGTGCAACTCTCCATTTTCAACTTACATTTATGGTTTTCTGAACCAACAACCTAATAACCCAGCTCATGAGCTTACACCAAATCATTCTTTTCTGTCCTGTCCAGCATAAAATAGCTAAAAGCTGAAGAAAGGAATGATTGGCAAAGAAAGTTGAACATGTAGGAAGCCAAAGAGACTAGATATCTCAGGAGTTGGTAGGTTACACCTGGGCTAAAATGTTGGAGAATATTGGACATTTGACAAAAATTCAGAAAGAGGACATCGATAGGAAGTCCATTGTGCTCTCTTTCTGTTGCATGTTTAAAACTGTTAACACAGTGTTTCCCACAGGATTTTGTGAGGCTATGGTGGGTGGACATCAACCCTCTAGGGGGTCCAGGGGCATGCCCCCCCGGGAACAAAATTTGTACATTTTAAAGTTAAGTGTATTAATTTGGTGCACTTTAAAAGCAAAATAAAGAGGCTAGATCTATGAAGAACTTTGCAATTGTGTTAACAATTTTGTGCCCTAGTGAACAATTTGATCATAAACACACTGCATATATGCAGTGATGAAACAGCAAAAAAAGGACACATGTAACATGTTAAATACTTCCTGTAAATATTATCCAATTAATCTTATTTCCATGCTGTACGTTGTGTTAACACCTTATTTTGAAAACCGGACTTTATCACATGTGCATCCTCCATCCTCGTGCTACATTCACCAAGCGCAATTTGATAAATTATATTGTGTGCTCACATTGCGTAAAATTAAAACTTTGTAAAGTGAGAAAATGAATTAACCCTGCCTGTCAGCTCGCTCTGCTTCTTCAGTGGGCCGCCATAGTCTCGTTAATTAATGGGAAACACAAAAATTTTTTTGACTTGTTAACTGGAACGCCGTCAACAAGGGTGTGACGTCATTCCCAGCTCTGACCTAAATGGAACGCAGTGTAAGCTAAAAGCTGGTTGGGTTTCTCTTTCTGCCCACTAGTTACAAAGTGAAAATCAAAATTATTATTATTCTGAAATGTTTGGCCTTCCTATTTTGGATAATGTTAACGCTTACAAATCATTTGGCACTATTTTGTTTGACCGTTTCTTGAACTCCCTGTTTTTATTGCATTTTATGTATATTATGTTCTTCTAAAATGTTTTGTTATGATTTGCTTGTATGATATTGTACCTTTTAACTCTTTTAACTGAAAGGCGCATAGCGAAATAAAGTAACCCTCGGTTTGCTGTCCGCCCTGGTTTCGTCTACCATCTACATAAACGACTCTAATGACACCGCTGACAGTGATTGACACCTGTGCTGTTGCCTGGTGACGCTTACTGGCCTTTCGAGCCCTTGTGGCCAATCAGACGGTGAAAATTAAATTGGGCTGTCAAATGCACTGCAGACTTCTCACGGTCTGGTTCGAGTGAAGGTCATGTATGGGAGAAGGAAGGAACAGGTGTTGGTAGGTCACACCAGGGCTAACCTACACAGATTATCACATGTCATGTCATACGCAAACATTAAAAATGATGAATGATAAAGCAGAAGAGAGCAGTGGTGTTAGGAGAACTGTGATTGTGGTGATTGAAGTGTGGACATCTGGACTGCTATAACAATGAAGGCAATTAGATTTATAAAAGTCCAGCCAACACTTCTACTGCTCAGCATCACACCTCATTTTTACAGATGAGTCAGGATGAATTATGAGGACTATTTGAGGGTCTTTCTGTGTCGTGACTGGTCAGTAGTATGACTGATTTTGGTTCAGACTTTCCTTGTTACTGTCTTGGTTCTGTACATATATATCTCAAATTAATGTAGCACCACCACCATTCAAAGTCGTGTTAGAAAATGTTTCCAGTCTAGAATTAACTGTCAAAAAAGTCTGTTTTGAAGAACACAGATTAAGATTGATGCTTGTTAATAGAAGCATAACAGGCAGTAGTACTGAGAAACCCTGCGTTTTAGCCTTTATTTTGTTTGTGCTGATGTGGTTTGGATCAGACTCCATGCTGTGATTTATCAAGCCATGTGACACTTATAAACAGAAGATAATGAGGAACTGGCAATGCTTGTATGGTTTTACTGCTGGCAACAGAAAACGGTTGACTGAGTGGAACCGGTATGTTGTCAACCATGAAATGAGTAAGGGAAATTTCATTCACACTGAATCTTTACGAGAACCACAACTAATTCCTTTTCATGTGTAGCTGAGTACTAGGCAGGATGTGTTTTCCTTCGTTATCCCCTCTGGTGATCTCATGACATAGGGCAGCAGCGTGCACATGGAAAATCGCTACTCTTAACTTGTAGATACATTTTCTAGTGTTGGGAGGATTATGTGGCTAGAATTTGTACCATGTTATGGTTAAATGATCAGATTTTTCCTGCTACAAATAATCTTTTTTGCACTGGAAATTAGTCTTTTCTTATTTCAGTGATTTCTTCCCCTCCCCTTTCCTCTCACAGCATACTGAGTGGGGCTCCTGAAAGATGCACTCAAGATACAATCAAATATTAAACACACCCATAAAGGGTTGTCTGTTGTCTCCACCCATTCACCCATTGCCACACACGTCACATTACACACACACACACACACACACACACACACACACACACACACATACATTCAAGAAGAGAGCCAGGCAGCAGACAGATCAACCTCTGAAGAGTGTCTTCCTCTTCCTGTGCTCTACTCTCTTTTGGGCGCTATTTTACTTTCAGTTTAAATGATGGAGGATGAAAAGTGCAGAGTGACTCGGCAGGATGTAGCTCTTATCTTAATGATTGACTCTGGGATAAAAATGATTGGACGAGTCAACAAAAGTTCACTGAGTTAAGGTAATATTTTCTAATATACTTTTCTGTGGATGGGTTTATGTGACCTGATTTGCCTGTACATATTTGTGCTGAGTACAACATGCAATGTGTACGTAGTTAATGTAGCGAGTTGCCACACCTTAGCTTTCTCCACTTCTCCCTACTCACCATTTCATCTGCTGGTCATTTGATCTACCATGTTTAGTATACAGCATTACCAAACCCACTATGCAGTCTCATTGGGTTAGCCTTTCTAAGCATCAGTGCAGCTCAGCCCAGTATTGCTTTCACTCAGTACACATTAGCGTAGCGTCAGTGTTGCTTTCATTCCTGTCTCATTCTATTAGCCTGCTCTAATGGCACTCTGATAATCTCTTCAGGGAGAGAGCTATGGCCCTACCTCTGCCCTGTCCAGATGACTAGCCTTGTTATTACTCCTCTAAGAAACTGGACTCAATATATGTAAACAAAGCTGGGCTTTAGTTAAGATTCAGTAGGAGGTGAGAAAGTAATTATCAGGTTTAATTATCAGGTTATATGTATTATGTCTATATTCTCAGATCAGATACTTAACCCTTGTATTTGGTGAGGGACTTCACTGTATGACAAGAGGGAAACCACTTTGTGATAGTGGTTATGGGTGTGTCTCGGGTGGTCCATTACCTTTGAAACAAATATCTTGTTTCAGGGTAGAGCCAGCTGGATGATGTACTAGGCTCTTCAGATGTTATCCATCCATATACTTGATTTTGTTCATCACTATAAAAGACTGATTTACCTAGATGGACAGACAGGGACATACAGAGGAGTTGCAAGATCATGCCAAGAACAAACCAGTGCCTGAAGAGTTTTTCTTGCTCACTCATCCATCCTTCCTGTCCACCCCTCCGCATTTTCCCAACTGTATCTTCGTTTCATCAGTTCTCTTTGCTATGTAGCTTAAGCACAGTCCATGTGGACTTGAATTGCTCAGATATGATTTTTTTATTCAAAAGACAAAGAATGTTGCTTTTTAAGTCATTCTGAAGCTTATTTTTTATTTGCATTTTTAATTTCTGCAGTTACAAACACTGCTGTGTTTAGTAATTTATTCTGAAATTGTAAGTATAAGCTATCAATTACTCTACACAGTAAATAGTTCATAGTCCACAGCAAAACTACCACTGACTATTTCAGTCTATTTGTTGCTTTAGCCCCCTCATAAATGTGTCTGAATTTAAATCTGTTTATTGCAGACGCAGAAAGCTTGTAATATCTGAGCTGTAAAACACAACAGTGATTTTTTTGCAAGTAATCCTGAGGCCCAAGAGAAAAACCAAGTGAGCCGGGAGAAGTATTTTCGGACACGAGTCACCCTACCGCTGAGTTAGATGGAACTATCTGTCGATGAATAGCAGGAGAGCTGGGGTGCTTGAACTGTGAGTTGATGAGCTGATTGTAGACAGGTGTGGAGATGAGCCAGGTGCCGGGAGAGGTAAACTGCGCACATAACACATACACACACACGCCCACACAGACAAAAAGTGGGGAGGAGACAGAGAAAACAAGGGAACACAGGAGCCATAGACAGTATAATTAATGGACGATGCCACTGTGCGGGTTTGAATGGAAAGCATTGAAGCCAATATTGGTCCTATGTAGTAGCAAGATTGCGCAGCACAAGACGTAGAACGCAGTTTTATGATGTAGAGCAACGGCGGAAACACAGTAATTCTGGTAGCTGTATGGCTGCACCATGCTGGGCCACCAAAAACTTTGATTGTGTTATTAGCCCACCAACAAGGCTCACTTATTAAACACCAATGTAATGTTACTTATTGCTGAATAGGTTGTTTAGATTGCCCAAGAGCTTCTTATCTAAACAATACGGTTACATCTCTCATGTGTGACGGCATGTTGCACGGTTGTGACGTAGGTTTTGGGTCTACATGGAACTTTGGTCGGGTTCACTGTTCCAACTCTCGCTTACTCTGGAGTTATGGCTGGAGCCATGACAGTTGGACCAAATCTAAGGGATCAAGTCTTTCAAAGTTGATGTCCTTACAGCAGTAATATACAGTATACATAATCAACAGCTGGTCGACAGTACTGCCAATGAGCGACTTATGGTGTAGGCCTTCTTTTTAAGATACTATAGGAAAAGGGGATTGTTTTTAAGTCATTTTTACTCTACGCCTTTCACTGGGATTTCCAATAAAAGTCTCCCCTTATCACTCTTTCAAAATTGAATGAAGGAGAGGTAAGAGGAAAGATGGATAGTCAGACACGCTGCTATGTTGAGAGATGGTGCTGAGGCTTTGCAATGATAGGGAACTATGAGCACTGGGAGGTGGGGACAGACCGGCTGTGTGTAGTAGATCACCTCCATTCATGCGTAGCCCCAATGACCCAATAGATCATAGCCCTCGGGCTGTCGCATCCTATCAGCATCCATCCTGTTACTCTCAAAGAATGCATCTCTGTAGTGTGTGTGTCCATGTGCAATTCAAAAGTGAAAGCTTTGCCAGAAGAGTAATGAATGACCCTGGTCTTGCAGATTTGATTTTTCAGCCTCCCTGCATTTCTGCCAGGTGCTTTCTGCCTGGCTGCCCTTTGAGTCGGAAATGAAGTAAGGCCAAATAGACCCACTGGCAGACAGACAGGAAGCTCCAATTCCCTGTACGGGAGAGAGTAAGAAAAGATGTCATCTCACTTTCCTGCTCATTTCACACAGTGATGCACAGCTGAGATGCTAATATGCAGGTCTAGCAGACGATCCCACTGTGGGAAAAGTCTGCCTGAAGTCTTGTCTCACTGTTTCTCCTATTCTAACTCTATAAAATCTACTAACTCGTGAGGTTTTGGGACATCGAGACAGCGCTCTTCTTTGCTGTTGACCAGTTCTTAGTACTGTGAAGAATTCAGACCGGAAAACAAGGATAAACTTAATTAATTAAACTATCTATGTAGACCTCGATGTCAAACCAGGTTAAAATGAGATCAGCAGCCCTCAGGCTTGTTAGAGGGTTTCTCTTGTCATTGCAGTGTACACAATTTGCTGTCTATAAAATATTATGTTTTCATTATTGAAGTATGAGTACAACCCTGACTTAAGTTGGACGGTGTCTTCCTGGACTGTTTACATTATTTATCCCTTCACAGCATCAAGGTTTCATGTGTTGTTCAAATGCAGTGCTGAGCCACAGAAGGCAGTTGCTGGCTTGGTTAATATGGTGTTTAGTGCAGACCTTGTGCTTGATGTTAGTGAAGCTCTGAAAATTTGTTTACAGTACTGTACTCTGGGGGGAGGGGCAGGCTTTCAGATATGAGCGTTTGACAGATGGCCGGCACGGTTTACTGCCCTACCTCTTGAATGTGTGTCAGTCAGTTAGGATTTTGTTGTTTATTTGTGATTCTCTTCGATGACCTGTGTCTTTGTACTGGTATTGGGAATTAGCCGGTTATCAAACATATTGTGTCTATAGCACAGAGTAACAGAAGCAGGTCATTTACTGTCATGTGGCACACATCACTTGGAGAAAACATTTACTCATTCAAATAAACAAGTTTTAATTTAGGTAAAGTGCTTGTATGGTTGTTTATGTTAAGAACAATTATACACTGATGTGTGTGGCAAGCAAAATACATTTTTGCAAACAAATTTGTTTATACTCAGCAATGTAAGGTCATTTAAAGCAGCATTGTTTTTGGCATTGGTTCCAAAATGTGGGTATTGTATAGGCAACAGTATTGAAAAATAGATAACAGGCAATACCAAGCTTCAGACCTGTGTGTGATGATGCGACATTAGTAGGCTAAAGATATTATTTATAGTTGAATACAGTTGCACTCTACCATTTTTTTGCTTAAATGTAGAAGAAGTCATTGTCATTTATAAATGTTAATATAATATTTTGAGATCGAATGACATCTCTCTTGTCTACCAATCAGTTAATTACATTTTTTTTAAACTTCTTTTCATGATCATACTAGTTGAATTATTTTAGAGCACCTGCTAAATCAGTGAGCCTTCCATAGTTCTCTTCTTACTTGCTGTTGCAGTAAATACAAATTTGAGACGTCTATTATCTCTCTCTATATGCATCAGTCCAATAATTATAACAAAAACTTTAACATGACAAAAATTAAAGCTGTGGATGTGGGATCTCTTAAAGGTGACTTAAAACAAACTTAAATAAAGAACATGAGCACTGCAGACAGCTATCTTCCAGTGGCTGGGTGAGGGGTGATATGACCCAGATGAATGGAACATTTGCCACAGCAGTGTGTGGATTTGCTGCTATGTAATAGTGATCTGCCACGCTGGATATGAATGAAATTTGAGAGGTTCTGGTGCCATTGACAATGGCGAAAAACCCTAATCTAATTGCTACCCATTAAACACACATAGACACACACAGTCACCACCCCCTCCCTGAGGGCAAAGAGGCTTTGGTTGCCCTGCCTGCACATGCTGACCTGATTTTGTGTGTGTAACTGTGTGTTTTTGTGTTCGTACCCATGTGTGTTTATGAATCAGATTAGGATGGTGGCATAGCCAGACACTCCTGTGGTAGTGGCGAGTGTGTCTCTTTGATTGTAGACACGTGTGTTTGTGCATGGGAATGTGGGGCAGTGTGGTATGGAGTTTTTTTCCAGAATAGGAGACCCACATTGTGGCACAAACCCCCCACCCCTACTCCTTTGAAAGTTGAGTGGTTTATTGCTCCAGTAGCTGCTTTTGTGTCTTTGTGCCAGTTTGTCAAGTGATCCACTCACATGAGAGAAACTGCTTGATCTACTGTGAAGTAGCAATACATCAGACATTTCTGTGATTTGATATTTGTGAACATTAATATTATTTGATGCAACAATAGGTAGATTTCTGTTGGAGTTAAGTTGGCAAACTGATTTGCTTCCTCAAGCAGATTGGTCACTTTCTGCTAACTGCACCAGCCATCTGGATCTTAGTAACCTTTCTGTTCATACTCTTCCAGCACAGACAGATGGATGATACACACAGGTGCACCACCAACACATGT